CTGGCCTTCCTCTTTTACGCTTGCCTTCCGAATTCCAAGTTACGGCTTGACTCGTGATGCAGTTTGACGATTTGCGTAATGTATGTCCTATCCATTTCCATCGTCTTTTCCTAATTTCTTCTTCAGCTGGAAGTTGGTTTGTTCTCTCCTACAGCAGGCTGTTACTGATGGTATCTGGCCAATGGATGTTGAGTATCCTGCGTAGACAGCTATTTATAAATACTTGTACCTTCTTGATGATGGTTGTAGTAGTCCTCCAAGTTTCAGCTCCGTACAGTAGAACTGACTGTCTTGACGTTCGTATTGAAGATTGTGACTTTGATATTGGTTGAAAGTTGTTTTTAGTTCCATATGTTCTTGAATTGTAGGAATGCGGGCCTTGTTTTGCCAATCCTGGCCTTTACATCTGCATATACTGGTTCAATAGTCTAGAGTTTAAGCATTCACGCGCGACACCGAAGATCTTGGATTGAAGTCCTATATGAGGGATTGTGGATGCATACTGCTAAGGAATCCCATACTATAACGAAACAACCGGGTTATCTTAGATCGATTCATGAATTCAACTATTTTCATTATTCCCATTACTTAACATTCTATTTCATAATGTTTTCATTTAAAAATTAGATTAACACTTGTGTATTTTAGACAAAACATTCATTGACCTCGAATAACACTATAAATTATAATATGACAATGATAATAGCCAAGACGATCATGTTCATTAAATACATACCTACATACACACACACACACAGCATGTTTCCAGTTATACTTCAGTTGACATTATCAAGCATATACATACGCACATGTACACACACCACATATATTCCTGTACGTCAGTTACTCATGCATAAATAATGAATGTGTATGTTACCTATAGATGATAACTTATGGTATCAATCTTATTTATGGTTTCCTTCTTCAAGCTGTGAATGAACAACAAATAACCACCAGCTGGTTTATCACGAATATATATGCATATCAATGGATAAACAAACATATAGACATAGACAGAAAAGGTTTTATGATTACAGTTAGAATACTGGTTAACAATGAAGTCTTATTTCGAACTAGTCAGTAAGGTGTAGATACCTATCAAGTGATCCACTAAGCTACTCGGTTCAGATAATCCTTGACCTGTTTAACGGGTATAAATTTTAATTCCTAAGTGTTTGTATCTTTCTGTTGTTAATGTGATGAGTTATAACTGATCATTGTCACTTGGTATATGTGCATCCTGTGAGAATTTCCTCAGTATAGTCATTCTGTCATAAGTTTACATAATAGATGAGAACTCATTATATGGATTTCACTGCTAACCAAAAACCATCTATGCTAGAAGTTGGAAAAGCCTTTAATTTTCACATTTATATATTTAAAATCCCAATGCACAGATACGTATACATTGTGTCAGACACAAAGTATGCCTCTTTTTAAGTAAAGATGGTTAGTGGCTAACAGTGGAATCCAGGACGTGCGTTTCGTCCCGTTCGGAACTCATCAGCTGATCACAGTTGATATTGACTCCAGGGCTCGAACCCAGTACTGGTTGCTTCAAACGCCATCGCATTATCCACTTGGCTACTAAGTCCTGATAGCCAGTTGATTGTGCGAAATACTGAATATTGCACGACTTATTCAGTATTTTTCGTCAAGTAACAAAAATGTTACATGGTAAATTAACCTAAGGCAAATAAGAGGGTCAGTTCACTTTGATAACATCTTATTGCTTTCTGGCTCTTTCGATTTTCTTCAGATTCACAAATTGATTTCTAGTTTAAAGGGAAAAGATTAACAAGCTAATTAACTGTTAAGAATTTCGACAATAATACATTACTAATGACCACATTAGAGATTCAATCCTAATCTTCCAGTGTTTAAGAAAACGTCACAACAGTATAAATCAGCTAAGTTGACATGTGATTAAACTATACATTTTTAATCTTAGTTATATAATAGAACAAATACAAAACCCCTTCTAATATGAATCAACATATGCTCTTGAAGTTGTATTGAGAAGCAGTGACCAGTGGAATTAAATCAGGTCTGTAATGCGATAGTAAGTCACTGAAGACAATGGTGGATATACATCGCTGAATTTCGTAGATTAATTGAAGTTAGACATTAACACTGTTGGATGCCGACTAGCTCAGTGGTGTCTAGAGTTTGATAGGTGCTGGGTTCGAATCTCACGAGATAGGATCGTGGATGATGAACACTACTTAGTAGTTGCATCATAGGATAAGTTATCCATCCAATACTTCTAGATTTTCCATGTTAGTCTAACTTGAATTGACTCATGATTTCAACTATGGGATATACAAATCTATTCAATTCATCTTAACTACTTACACTACACTAATTGTCACCTAAACATTTCATGAAATGGTCTAAACTAGAAATTCCTTCTTTTAACTTCCATTTTTTTTTCTTTGTTCTTTGTTAATTTTATTTTTAAACATACAAAGTAGTTTTCACATTGACTATGACAACAAACAAACAAACAAATGAAAAACAGAATTTATTTATTTATTTTTAACTTGATTTCAATGCAAAACGGAAATCATTGGTCTGTAACAGTTTTGTGTGTGTATGTGTGCATGATTCCTATGTATGTATGTGCATCCGTGTGTGTATATGTGTGTGGTTGGATGGATATAAGACGAAGAAAAGTCAGTATATACATCTGATAACAATTGGGTTGAATATTGTAAATATGTGAGAGAAATTCTTTCTCCCTCTCTCTCTCGTTCTCGTGTGTGTGTGTGTCATCCTTATGCATTTTAGCTACAGACACAGATACAAATCACGGTATCTTTGATTTGTGTATGTGCACTTGTCTTATATGGGTGGGTACATTGTGTATAAATATTGTGTTTGTAGTGTATATCTGTATGGTTTGTATCTAAACTTATTTTTATTTACATGTTATTAATAAATATACATAAATTAAGTAGTCGATACATAAAAACATAATTCACAAAACAACTGAGTTATTTTAATGTTATTGTGTTGTAATGGGCTCTTATTATTGTGAAAAGTATGTTTTATCTTTTGATTGAGATCATAAATCGATTGATGTTAAACTGGTATGGAACTCTTGAGCAGTGTATGTTCACGATTCAGTTCGCTAGATTCGAATTCAGGATCTTCTGTCTCGAGCACAAACGCTTAAACTTTAGGTCAGGGAGACAACATCTAAATGTTAATGTCTAACTTTAACCAATTCACGAAATTGCTCGACCATCTTTCATTGTCTGGGGTTTATATCTATCTCTACCTGGCACATATTAGCTTCACTAGTTACATTTCGTCTTACTAATGTTGAATAGTGACTAACAGATAGAGCATTTCATCTTATTTAAGACATATTAGTTCTATGGATGGAAAAGGCTGATGGGCGGCCTATGCTCCTCCACGAAGGGTAACAGGCATAAGTAAGTTCTATGTACCTGTCGTTAGTGGTTATATGGACTCAATAGCTCAATAAATAAACTGATAGGCATTTGGAGGGGAAGGTATTGAGTTCAAGTCCTGATGTGAACATCAACAGCGAAATATGAGAACACACATATGAGGAACCCTGAAATAAGATGGAACAGTCATCCTCAATTCCACTACTGATTTCTATTTAGCGTCATTAAAAGGAGACTTGTAACTTAATGACAATATGCAGGCAGTCCGCACAGAATTCACATATGCCGAAAGAAATTAATTTCAGTCCTTTATCTAGATGAATATTCATCTTTGTATGATTCAACTTCAGTAACACTGATATATCAAACCATATTCTCTTTAGATTTGAAGTCTTTATTAGAGGATACTAACAGTCATTATTGTTGAAATGATAAAAGTCGATTACGATATCAACTCGTTTGTAGATTTCATTTTACTTTACTTTTTAACTGTAATTAAATTGGTTTTGGTGGAGTTTTGTTCTCTGAGCTGGATGGTTTGGTCGTGGAGCTTTCATCGTTCTTCTGAACGACATCATCAGCACAAACTTCAATTGGAAGTGAAGTGTTTGAATTTCTCCATATCTGTTTCAAAGCTTGTTCTGTGCACCATCCAGCTCAGAGAACAAAGCTCCACCAAAATCATCCACCTGAGCTACAAATCTTCTCCACCATCTCAATTAAATTGGTATTTTATGAAATGACAATGTTGGTCAATTATGCACATTCAATACATTTCAAAGTGGATTATTGACTTGGTAACTAATGACTCAGTTTTTAGTCACCAAGTCACAGGTTCGAAACCCGTTCCACATAATTTCACCAGGCGAATTTGGTGATATCACTAACTGTCACACAAAAATAGATAGGGCTTAAATCTTCATACAAAAACTTGTACTCCATAGATCATTTGTAGCTGAAAGTATGCTTAACTGATTACTTTTAACAATATTTAAAATGGACGCAAAGTCAATTTTAGCATATCAAAATGAAGTTGATATAATTTACTACTCAATGATCTAAAAAGAATTAAGTTTAGGACTAAAAGTTTTTGAGATAAGATGGTAATTGGAGGTAGTCAAGAGGAAACCCTGAAGCCGGGTTTCGTGCTATTTGGCACTCGTCAGCAAGGTGTACCTGTAATCTTAAGGGAACTGGTGCTCCTTGACGGATTTGATCCCGAGTCATCTAGTCTCACAGTCAGAGACGTTTCCACTCAGCTATCCGGGTCTAGGGGTTGGCACGCGAGACCGAAGTTCCTGGGTTCGAGTTTCACATGTGGGATCGTGGATGCATACTTTTGAGGAGTCCCATACTATAGTGAAATGGCCTTTCAATACTTCCAAGTTTTCAGTGGTAGTCTAACATGATTTCAGTAAAATTCAACCATATCCATAACCCCATACTGAACATAATTGTTTTTTTTTTTACTTCATGTAGGTGTGTCACTTAGTAATTGTTTAAAAAATTCCCCTTTCCGAAAGAAATTATTTCTAATTTTTTTCTCCCTACTTCATCTTCATGTTTCTTTTTTTTTCAAAGGAGTATTAGTTGTCAATGTGACATGGAGAGGTCGAACGTATATTGGTACTTTGTTAGATGCAACACAACACGATTTCGCTCCACCATGGTAAGTTAATATTGATTACTCTTAATTACTAATTAGTTTGACATGACAATTTTGTCATTTCTAGAAAATTAATAATCTAATCCAAAAAAGAAAGATTAGATTCCATAGAAAAATTAATATCAGTTAAAATATCAGTAGAGGTAGTAGTAGTGTGGTGCGTGCTACTTATATTGATATAAGTAGTATATTATGCGAGTCAGGAATGTAATGTCTGGCAGCAGAAGATGAGGGAAGATGAAGAAAGCAAACGCGGGAGTAGAATGTAATTTGTATGAAAATGTAAGAACAATGAAGTCTGAGGCATTTTGAGACAATTGGTGGACATTTTGCAAGTTAATGATTTAATATATAGTTCTCAGATTTTATTGAGATGCTCTGTAATTTTGTGCCAAGTACATTTGGTTTTCCTTACCCGTGTTCTGTTCACTACAGTAGTACTGTGGTATGTACTACTGATGTCAACAGATATGAGTGGTATGTATCATCAATCGAAAGTGGAATGCCTAACAGCAGAAGGTTGAAAAAAACTGAAGAGAACGAGGACAGAGAGTGATTGATATGGGAACGAAGGAGCAACAAAGTCCGAGACAACTGATGAATAATTTGCAGATGACGTATTACTATATAGATCTGAGATTTACCAACATATTCGGCAATGTTGTATTGAAATACATTTGATTGTCCCCATCTGTGTACAGTGTATTGTACAAGACAAATTGTTCTAGTTTATTATTTATTTTAACACATATATATTGGTACAAGGAGGCACCAAATAGATATGCGCCACATAAATCATTCGATTTGTGTGAGGACCGTGATACTGCCCGGGTGCCCAAACCGAAGAAGGTGGTTATCTTAGGGGGGCCACACCCCGCGCCTTTGACCTTAAGGTCTGATCCACAAGGCAGTGGAGCACCGTGAGGAGATGTAGTCTCATGGTAGCCGGTGACCGAAAATTGGTTCATACGCCATTTGTTCCCGCAGGATACTGGAGCCCATGTGCACCATTGGTTTGGAATCCGGTTAAAGCACCGGACATTCGCTTTTCGTTCTCTCAATTTCGTAAGCAACAACCGCGCCACGAGAAGGCAGTGAGTAGGACTTCCCTGGCAGAGGTTATATACGCGTGGCCATGTGAGAGCATTTCGAGAGGGAGAGCGGACTCTCCCCACTCTCGGCCGTACCAGGGCATTTGGGGGCATTCTAGTTAATAGGAGTGAATCAATGAGAGACAAATATGTTTAATAAATACACGAATCTAGATGATTGTCATCTCAACAGAACTATCCATAATTAATCAGTTTAATAGATCAATTAGAAAAGTTTATGTATGAAGTGAACATTTTTGATTTTATACAACTATCGCGATCGTTTAACCAAGTCTTATGTTTTTGCTTAACTGAGAAGAGATTTTGTTGCATAATCCGATCTAAGGCCTCATGGCGTTACTGAATACTAGGGGCAGTCTTGCTAGCCAACTTAGGCGATCGACAGACATCGGAATGATAACCCAACTGTTGTATCTTGGGCCAACTCGGGTTCCACTCGAGACTCACTTAACCTTCCTGATGTGTATGTTTATATATAGGTATTGCAGAGGTCCTCGAACCTATGTATTTCTGTATGTAGGTATATGCAACGGGTGTGCGTGTGGTGTCGTATAAAGGAAACGACAGCTAAAATATTGTCTGCCTAATCTGCCAAGTCGAAGACATAATAAAATGTTAGCAAATACTAGGGAGAGGTGACCAACAACCTCCTCTGAGAGAATACATATGCTTATGTATGTGTCAAGAAGTACTGAGGCGGTAGCCATGGGGTAAATGATGTGCTTGTAATGTGTAAAAGAGAGTCTGGTGTAGTAAATACATCTCCAAAGGAGTGGTGAAAATCTACACTCCCAGGTAGATGGATATACATATATGTGTGCTATGGGATATATGGGATAAAACCTGTGTGTTATCGGTCTACATGTAACGTATAATTATTCTTTTAAGTTCTATTTAATTTCAGTAGTTGAAACCATGAGTCATTTGAAGCTAGACCAATATAGAAAACCTGGAAGCACTAAACGGCCGTTTCGTCCTAGTGTGGGACTCCTCAGCAGTGCGCATCCACGATCCCGCCCCCCGCGAGATTCGAACCCCAGGACCTATCAGTCTTGTGCGCGAACGCTTAACCTCTAAACCACTGAGCCGGTCAGCCGGCATCCAACTGTGTTAATGTCTAACTTCAACCAATTGTGTGTAAGAGTTCGAATTGTACTGTGACAAATATAAGTAGTTTTTATTAGAACTGTTTCATTTTTAAGAATTGAATTTCATTAAAATTACTGTTACTGATAAGTGAATAATAATTGGTCAGTGTAATCTTCGTTTTTATTCTTGAAAAATAAGTTCCTTATTCATATCCATGAAGAAATTCTTTTCCAACTTATGAACAATTCAATATTTAAGTTATATAACTTACTTACTTACTTACGCCTGTTACTCCTCGTGAAGGAGCATAGGCCGCTCACCAGCATTCTCCATCCAACCCTGTCCTGGGCAATCCTTTCTAGCTCCGTCCAGTTGTAATTCATCGTTTTCATATCTGCTTCTATTATCCGACGCAATGTGTTCTTTGGCCTTCCTCTTTTTCGCTTCCCTTCACGATTCCAAGTTAGGGCTTGCCTAGTGATGCAGTTTGACGATTTGCGTAATGTATGTCCTATCCATTTCCATCGTCTTTTCCTAATTTCTTCTTCAGCTGGAAGTTGGTTTGTTCTCTCCTACAGAAGGCTATTGCTGATGGTATCCGGCCAATGGATGTTGAGTATCTTGCGAAGACAGCTATTTATAAATACTTGTACTTTCTTGATTGTGGTTGTTGTAGTTCTCCAAGTTTCAGCTCCATACAGTAGAACTGCCTTGACGTTCGTATTGAAGATTCTCACTTTGATATTGGTTGAAAGTTGTTTTGAGTTCCATATGTTCTTCAATTGTAGGAATGCGACCCTTGCTTTGCCGATCCTCGTCTTTACGTCTGCATCGGGTCCTCCTTGTTCATCGATGATGCTTCCTAGGTATGTGAAAAATTCTACATCTTCCAGAGTTTCGCCATCAAGAGTGATTGGATTGCTGTTCTCCGCTTTGAATTTGAGGACCTTAGTTTTCCCTTTGTGTATGCTGAGGCCTACTGATGCAGAGACTGCTGCTACACTGGCTGTCTTCATCTGCATCTGTTCGTGTGTACGTGATAGGAGGGCTAGGTCATCTGCAAAGTCCAAATCGTCTAATTGATTCTGAGCTGTCCATTGTATTCCGTGTTTTCCTTCAGATGTTGAGGTCTTCATAATCCAGTCGACCACCAGAAGAAAGAGGAAGGGAGAGAGTAAACAGCCTTGTCTGACTCCGGTCCTTACTTGGAATGCATCTGTCAGCTGTCCTCCATGCACTACTTTGCACTGTAGTCCGTCGTATGAGTTCCGGATAATATTGACAATCTTCTCAGGAACTCCGTAGTGTCGAAGAAGTTTCCATAATGTCCTCCTATCTACACTGTCGAATGCCTTTTCATAATCAATGAAGTTGATGTATAGTGATGAGTTCCACTCAACTGATTGTTCGACGATGATCCGTAGTGTTGCAATTTGGTCTGTGCACGACCGATCCTTACGGAATCCAGCTTGTTGATCTCGAAGTTGAGCGTCTACTGCATCCTTCATCCGGTTCAGCAACAATCTGTTGAAGACTTTCCCTGGTATTGACAGTAGTGTTATGCCTCTGTAGTTTTCACATTTGCTCAGATCCCCTTTCTTTGGAATCTTGACGAGGTGTCCTTCTTTCCAGTCCATCGGCACTTGTTCCTCCTCCCAAATCTTTTTGAATAGAAGATAAAGCATGCTTGTGGTTGTTTCGATGTCTGATTTCAGTGCTTCAGCTGGTATGTTGTCGGGTCCCGCTGCTTTCCCGTTCTTGATTTGTCTGACGGCCATTCTAATTTCTTCCGTAGTTGGTGGATTGACATCTATAGGAAGATCTATGTGTGCTGCTTCGATGTTCGGTGGATTCATTGGAGCCGGCCTATTCAGGAGTTCCTCGAAGTATTCTACCCATCTGTTACGCTGTTGTTGAATTTCGGTGATTGGCTTGCCTTCTTTGTCTTTGACCGGCCTCTCTGGTTTACTGTATTTCCCTGCTAGTTTCTTCGTTGTATCGTGAAGCTGTTTCATATTTCCTTCTCTAGCAGCTTTTTCTGCCGTCGTTGCTAGTTCTTCCACGTATTTCTTCTTGTCGGCTCTAATGCTCCTCTTCACTTGTTTGTTTGCTTCTATGTATTCAGCTTGTGCTTGGACTTTCTCTGCTCGTGTTCGGCTGTTGTTTATTGCTGCCTTCTTGTTCTTCCTTTCTTTGATCTTGTCCAGTGTTTCTGTAGAGATCCATTCCTTATGATGGTATTTCTTTAGACCGAGAACCTCTTGACACGTTGAAGTTAATGCTTCCTTGATGCCTTTCCAGTTGTCCTCCATAGTAGTTTCTTCTTCTTTCAGTAGATCTTGTAAGGCTTGGAACCTGTTGTTGAGAGCTATCTTGAATTCATTGAGTTTGACAGTATCTCGAAGGAAGGCTGTATTGAACCTTTGTATTGCTGTTTGTCCACTTGTCCAGTTCTTTTTTAGCTTCAGTTTCAAATTGGCTACAACTAGGTGGTGATCTGAAGCTACGTCAGCACCTCTCCTGGTTCTCACATCTTCCATTGTCCTTCGGAATTTTTTATTGATGCAAATATAATCTATCTGGTTCTCTGTAGTGTGGTCCGGTGAGATCCATGTAGCTTTATGTATACGTTTGCCGCTTATGACCAATTTGTTGAATGCACACAGATTTGCAAATCTCTTCCCATTTTCGTTTCTCTCTTTCAACCCATGTCGTCCCATAATATCTTCATATCCGGTGTTGTCTATTCCGACTTTGGCATTTAGATCTTCCATCAGAATGTTCAGGTCGTTTCTTGGGCACTTCCCTATGATTGACGGCAGCCGCTCGTAGAACTGATCTTTAATGTTGTCGTCGCTATCATTGGTGGGTGCATAACATTGGATAATATTCATTGTGATCCCCTCCTTCTTCGTTTTGAATGATGCTTTGATGATTCTGGACCCGTGAGATTCCCATCCTACAAGTGCATTTCGTGATACTTTGGACATCATAAGAGCGACTCTCTGAGTGTGTGGTGCATTTTCCTCTTCGTGACCGGAGTATAGCAGCATCTCTTCCGTATTTAGCCTTTGTTGTCCAGCTTGGGTCCAATGGATTTTGCTGATTACAAGTACTGCCAAATTGTATTTCCTCATTTCCGTTGATATTTGACTGGTCTTCCCGGTTTCCCACATTGTTCGAACGTTCCATATACCTATAAAAATATTTGCTCTGGTTGTTAGAAGGGGCATCGGCCTCGTGGCTTCCGAAGGAACTCGGCTTTCACCATGAAGCGTCATAATTTTTCTAAATGAAGACCTTCTAACTCCCAGGGCAAAGTTAAAATGGTTTGGATTATTTTTTATGGTAAGCGTTTTTTTAGCGAGTTAGTTTTCTACGGGATGGGGACGCTAACCCCATGCCCAACCCTCCTCCTTTACCCGGGTTTGGGACCGGCAGCAACCCTATAAGAGCTACAGGCGGAGTTAAGTTATATAACTACTGATACTTATATTTACTCATGTATTTATCATATTTATTTTATAGTCCACGAGATTACGTACCTCCATTTAAATCATCAGTACGATCTAGTAATCGTACAAAACGTCGAACTGGAGTTGGAACAAATTATAAGTCAAATTTAACGAATCATCTTACAACTAATGATTGTAATTGGAAATCTACTTCAACTGGAAGACATCGATTACGTGGTCGAGCTTCAAATTCACCTGCAGTCAATAATAGTAATGGTATTGAGACCATTTCAACAACAAATCGTTGCAATACACATAATCTAACAAAAATCGATACTGAGAAAGAATTAATCAATGATAATGCTATTCAAGAGGATACTGATTTAACTCAATGTCTTCCTCATGTATCTGATGAAGAACAACTAACACGAAGTAGTAATAGTAGAAAAACTAAGTTACATAATAAAAGTCGTAAACTTTTTCGAGGTAGTAGTACATCATCAAGCGATTGTCCATCGGAAGTTCTACCGGATCTTGAGAAATTATCTGAAATTGGAGATTTCACCGGTAAAACTGATGGAATACTTTGTGATCCACAAAATCCTGATCATTCTCGACCACATACTCCATTATGTACAAATAATAATAATATGAATACTAATAACACTGATAATAATAGTAGTGATCGTGTTTGTTTTGAAGAAAATGATGAATTGCATGAAACATTTCCAATTGGTTGTCCAATTGATGGTTGTAAAAAACGTTTCTCACATGTTCTAGCTTTACGTTTCCATTTGAATCATACATCACATTGTAATTTATTAGATTCTCATAAGAAACGTCCTTCTAGTATTGATTTAAAGAAACGAGATTTCACTAATGCCAGCTCTATTACAACAACATCAACAGCTACAACTACTACCAGTACTAATGATAATAAGAATAATAGCAATGCAGTGAATTGTAGTTCAACACATTTGAAGTGTCCACCAACTATTTCACCGTGTCAACCTTCCAGTTCATCCCCATTACCAACAGGAATAACAACTCCAGATCTACTGAATTCATTTGGTGGACCACTATTGCCATCATCATCATCATCGTCGTTGCAGCATCAGTTAAAGCAAGAATCCAATCCATATGATCCACAATTGCAAAGTTGTCCAGTACCACAATTAACATCTGAATATAATCGAGATACAATGTCTATGCATGTACAACAAAATAACATGCCTACTCATCATCCTAATTATAAATTGTATAATAAAAATGAACAGAAATTATTTGATACAAATATATCAAATGATTATATAAATGTAATGATGAATACGAATAATGATAATAATAGTAGTATGAATAATGTGATACATTCAGTTAGTAAACAACGGAATAATGAAATAAATAAGCATTCTGGCAATAAGAAACGTTTATCTACATCCATGTCATCTAATAACAATAGTCCAGTTATTGATATCACTTCATTGAGTAATTATAATGGTAATAATGTACGTACAGTAACAGCGCATACAGTATCAGTGCCTCATGGTTCATTAGACATTGCTGGCAATTCAAATTCTCGATCTAATCAACATCAACATCATTATGGACAACAACAAAACCATCAAACTAACAATGGTAATTCATTTCACTGCTCTAAGCGAACAACTCCAACATCATCGTCATCATCATCATCAGCTACTCCACGTGATTTCAGTAGTAAACATAAAGGGGGACAACAACAACATTTATCAAATAAATTGTCTTATCAAAATATAAAAACCGATATTAATAATAATAATAATAATTCTACAGTGATGAATTATTCTCGTTACAGTGGTGGTACTCATCATTGTGGTAGTTTAGAGCAACAGTCAATAAAAAGTGAATTGAACAATGATTATATGATGAATTTAACAATGTGTCATGCTTTATTGAATACTACCGCTACTACTACTATGAGTACAATGTCAAAATTGAAGAATTTAACAGTTAACCAGCAAGAATTTAATACATCACTGTCTAATAATAATAATAATAATAATAATAATAATAATAATAATAATAATAATAATAATAATAATAATAATAATAATAATAATAATAATAATATGATCCCATCGTTACTTTTCCAAAATGCATGGAATCTTCAACTGCCGAATTCGTCTACGTACACACAGTCTATGCCATTGTCGTTTAATAATAATAATAATAATCATAGTAAAGATGATGAATTGAAATCTACTATGAATTCATTAACTAATGGTTTACCGTCTTCATTATATCTGCCCACATATCCGAATATGCCAACATTTACTTCTTCGGGCAGTGTTGTTAATAATAGTCCCATCAACACTATGCCATGTTCGTCCACACCGTCATTATCCATGCATGAAATGTCCACAACATCGCAACCATTCAATGATTCAAAACAATATATTCCGTCTAATCATCATCATCATCCACTTGGTACAAGTTTAAATACTACTTCAAATCAGAGTGTAGATCTTAATAGTACTACTAATAGTAGTAATAGTATGTATTATGGTATACCAGACTTTTTAGTTGCTGCTTTAAGTACACTAGCATCAAATGCTTCATCATATTCCTGTATACCGGAACCTTTTAAATCATATTTTAATCAGAATTCTTTGCTGAACAATACTACTAATCCTACTAGTACTAGTAATATGAATAGTAATGGTAATTCTATAAGTAAAACAAATAATTTATCCTCTTCAAATATGTCACTTTCATCAAATTCAGGAATATTGGATGGTACAATGAATAATCGATTTTTTAATCCACAATTCTTTCAAAATTATGGGACTAATCTTTCGAATGTACAAAATTTTCAATCATTTAATAATAGTAATAATAATAATAATAACAGCAGTAATCTAACTTTAAATCCGGAAAGATTAGATCCATTGAAATTATCTGCAGGTAAGTATAGAATAGAATAGAGTTATGTTGAAGCTTGAATGTGTTCGGTACCAGTATTTATGATGTGCTTAACACAAGTCCTAATCACATATTTCGACACAGAATGTTAGGTGGCGGCATAGAATTAGTTTAGAAAAGTAATTAAAGGGTGGCCAAATCAAGATATAATATTAGTCTATGAAGTCACGGACTTTTAATTTGAGCCAAATCGGTGGTTGCAAATATTCTGGTAGGAGCCTACTCATGAAAGAATAATAGTATTCACTTTATTCGAAATACGAAATAGGTCATGAATCTTAGGAAAAAAACTATCCATAAATAGTCAGTATAGGATTGTGGAAATTGTTTTATTTCATTGAAATCACCACCACTGAAAACCTGGAAGCAATGGACAGCTGTTTTGTCATAGTATGAGAATCACCAGTGACTAGCTTCAAGTGGGAATTTCAGAATTTCTAATGAGAAGCCGTGAACAGGGAAGCCAATCTATATCGGATGTGAAACAGTTACTAATTGAACACAATGTTATGGACTGATTGAGGTTAGACACTAACATTATTGGATACCGACTCAGTGGTCTAGAGGTTGGCGCGCGAGACCGAAGTTCCTGGGTTCGAGTTTTACATGTGGGATCGTGGATGCGTACTTCTGAGGGGTCCCAGTGCTTCCAGGTTTTCACTGGTGGTCTAACTTAAATCGGTTCATGATATCCATAAATAGGCTTTTCTGTGATGATTAACTATCAATGATTTTGAACCGTAATTTTTTTCAACCACGTTTTAGATGTAACAATTACTTTTGTTATATTTATTGTCAGTTAAAATAGATACAGAATGGGAAGATTTTTTATCAATAGTTATATAGTTGGTTGGAAAAAAACTGATTAGGCTGTTACAGATAACATTTAGGAAAAAGATAAGGAATGTGTACATGTTGTACGATATTTTAAACCGATTATCAACCATATCAATTGTGATCAGTATGGCGTTGTGGAGATTATTACGTTTTTGATCAAGATCATGAACCGATTAATGCTAGACCATTATCGAAAACCTGGTAGCACTGGACGGTCGTCCCGTCCTATTGCCAGACTCCTCAGGAGTGCACATCCACGACCCCGCTTATGGGATTTAAACTCAAGGCCTTCGGTCTCACGCGCGAATGCCTAACTTGTAGACCACTGAGCCAGCCGGCATTCAACAGTGTTAATGTCCAACCTCAACCAATCCACGAAATTGAGCGACCATCTTTCATTCTACTGAGGTAGATACCTGTCTCTACCCGACATAGATTAGGTCCATTAGTCAATTAAGATTCTTAATTATTGAAGTGGAATTATGAAGTTATATGAAGATTGTAACACTGGTTGATTAACAAGGTTGAAAAATGCATAAAGTGTAGTTTTGTTACTGAGGACTCAGTGTAATATCTAATCAGAATTTTAGTTTAGAAATATTTGTAAAATTACTTGATTGTATTATGTATGTTTGCTGATTTATTAAAGTGGTCAATATGAATCCTTGTCGATTCCGATCACACATTGGACAACTGCTGTAACTTGGTTTGAAACATCTTAAGATATCATTCTTACTTTAATATCTTTGAGTTTATTCCCATGAGGAATTGTGAGAATATTACTGTCTCTGAAGTCTCATACTTAACAACTACCCTGTGTGTTTTTTTTCATTATCAGTCAATGTATTAATTTTATTTTTCATATTCTCTAACCTCTTCTACACTAGCCTACTTGATGCAGTATACAAATCCAAGTGCAACACAATTATCATCATCCTCCTCCTCATCATCATCTACGGTAACGTCAACTTTCGGGAATAGTATATAACCGTGAGAATAAAATTCCCTTCAGTCAATACTTCTATTGATTGTTATTTCTTTCTTTTCCTTTCCTTTCTTTTTGTTCCATAAATTTAATTGTCTTTCATTAGTTAGTGATCTGTATTTAAAACACACACACACACATTATACATACCTAATTATTTATTTATTTATTTATTTATTTAAACAACTATAAACTCAATGATTAATATTTGTGTATGCTCATCCTGTACACTAAATGTAGTTTCTTTTCTTTCTGTGAATTCATCTTAGTTTGATTACAGAACAAACAACAACAACAATAACTCAATTACTATTACATGTGAACCATTTATCCAAAATCTATACTACTGTTACCATGATTAGTAGTAATACTACAACTACTACTTTGGACAATCGATCAACCTGACAATTAGAAACAAAACACGAATATTGATCATGATAATGAAATGAAATGGACTATTAAAAATAACCTATACTGTGAATAATAAATAGACACCAAAAAAATGTATCATCACAATTGGTTATCATGAATTGTTGATTAGGTCTTCTTTTTCTTCTTCTTCTTGGTATATTTACATATATATATATATGTTTATGTATATCTATGGTTTATTTGTCTTTCGTTTTGTTTCATTCATATCCCAACATTAAAAAACAAAAACAAAGTGAGGGATCAGTTCACAAAACAACCTGTTACATATCTCTTTCCGTTTACTCATATACATATATCTCGCACGTACACACACACACACACACACTTCTTCTTCTTCTTTGGCCTTGACATGTATTCACATTTATCTTGCAATATGTAGTTTCGATCACTACTGCTTGTAAACAACAACAACATCAACACCACCAACATCAACAAAAAGAATAAAACTATATTCTTGTGCCAAGTTTTGTACAAGTTGTACAATATAGTTGAATTCAAGTAAATATGATTCATTTCCCAATATATTGATTTTTTGTATTTAATGTTCTTTCTTTTGTATTAGCAACAATTCAGTATAATTAATTGAAAATAAGAACAAACAAACAAACAAGCAAACAACTTCTTTATCTACCATATATATATATATATCTCTCCTTATACTGACATCTCTTTGTCTTTTCCTTCTTCATTATTTTAAACTAACTACTTCAACTTGTTGTTTCTTTCCAGTATGTATTTGTAAATCTGAGTAGAGAAATGGAGTAGAATAAAATAGTCACATATATATATATATATCTCAATGTTTCTAAATATATAATCATGTCTTGTATGTATATGTATTTATGAATATCTATTTATTATTATTCCCTTGTTAAATATTACAAATATATGCATACCTACTTACTTACTTACTTATGTCTGTTACCCCCCTCATGGAGGAGCATAGGCCGCCGCTCACTAGTATTCTTCATCAAACTCTGTCCTATATCCATAAGTGTATATATATGTAGATAGATAGATATATAGATATACATAAAACTTTCTGTCTCACTACTCTTACTCACATTATTGTTAGTTGAAGGTATCAACACTAAAGAACATAAGTATACACACGTACATTCATTATAACTAACTAACACACACACATATATCTGTGTGTACAGGCTTGGAAACAAATATTTATATACATAGATACAAACAGACAATATATTGACTAATTTTGTATTTATATCTTAGTTTAATTATTCAATAATTGATTCGATACACATAAAGCGACATATTGTGAAAGAAGACATGAGTATATACATATATATATCACATTTACAATTAGGCTTTTATGATTTCTTCTATATATTGGAGTCATTTAGTAAACATCTTATAGTTTAGTTCATTTTTTATGCTTCTTCATCTTCTTCTTAGACTTCTCTTTCTTTATTTTGTATTACAGTTCTGACTTGGATATGTTTGATGAACATTGAGATTCACTTATTTCTATCCCGTGGTTAAATGGTCTTTTGTTGTTGTTGTTGTTGTTGTTGTTTTCTTTCTTTCTTAACGGAACAAACAAACAGAATTTGTTTATTTAAGTAATAATAATCATTATTATCAGAAGGGGTTTGTGGAGATTTTAGAAATTTTCACAGATTGAAATCATGAGTCAATTGAAGCTAGACCACCAACCCCTTCTGATAATAATCATCTGCTCACTAGTGACTGACTTCAAGAGATACTCCTGGAGTTCTAGTGGGAAGCCGTTACCAGTGGAGTTTAACCAGGTCTGTTGTGAGATATAAGCTCACTGAAGACAATGGTGTACGGTGGCGCAACTTCGTGGATTGGTTGAAGTTAGACATTAACACCGTTGGATGCTGGCTCAGTGGTCTAGTGGTTGAGTGCTCGCGCGCGAAGCCAATAGGCCCTGGGTTCGGGTTCCGTGGGGTGCAGGATCGTGGATGCGCACTGCTGAGGAGTCCCGTACTAGGACGAAACGGCCGTCCAGTGCTTCCAGGTTTTCAATGGTGGTCTAGCTTCAATTGACTCATGATTTCAATCTGTGAAAATAATCATTATTATTATTCTTTATTACTGTAACATTTATTGAATGATTTGTATTCATTTTGAAACTATACTAGGTGTAAAAGTTGTGCGTGTGAGTGTTTACCGGCGGGTATTCATATCTGTTGCATATCATTAGACTATTATAAAAGCAATTTTCTATAATACTGCTAAAAGGGCTACATGCACACACACGTATATATATACATGAACACAAATTAACTAATCAATAAAACATATCCCTAGTCTGTGAACTTTTTTAAAAAATGTGGATCCAATGTGTCGAATAGATCATCTTGAATAGGTTGTATTATTTGTTAAAACTATCAAAGTTAAAGCAATGTGTTATAGAATCAAGTGAACGAGTTCAAGGTCACGGTGCTTATTTTAGTACCCAATGCTTATGTAGATCGGTTGACGTCCGGTTTTTAAGCAGCAAGTTAGAAGTGAGCGATCTCAATGGATGGGATTACTGAAAGCCTCATTTATTTATGATTGCAGTGACTAACTGCTGAACATTCTGACGATGTTGTATTTCGATGTAATATACATTTAGGGAAAAGGTCTACTAGGACGGGAACTTTTTTCACTCGGTCCCGATTGACATGGAAAGTTTGTGACAATGTTTGCAAACTGAATAATAAGAACGGTAGTAACACTGGCTGCAACTTTTACACATATTATGAGTTTTAGAAGTTTGATGGTATGAGTACCTTTTGTTGGATTTTTTTCTCTGAGCTGGATGGTTTGGTCGTGGAGCTTTCATCGTTCTTCCGAACATCATCAGCACACACCTCAGAGAGCAAAAATCCATCAAAATCATCCACCTGAGCTACAAATCTTCTCCATCATCTCAAAATGGTATGAGTACTGTCAAGATATATATGCAATGAACATGACAAGCTTGAATCAGTCTTTTGGAAGAATCGTAGGAATAGACGAAAAAGTTGTCAGAAAACGTAAATTCAATACGAGTGTTATAGAAGACTGAGTAACTAACACTTCATTAAGTATACTTAGCAAGTCTTTCGTATATATGGTGGATCATCACAAAAGGGATACTTCCAGAGTATCAGAAACCGACAGGCTACAACAATAATACCAATTATAGGTCAGTCAGTACCAACGTAGAACTTCGTACGTACGTACATTAGTTCGAGCTGCCACACCACATTAGCACACATATACAATTGTCGACTCAAACCCCATAGTAGTAAAAGTATAAGCAGTAATCGGAAAGATTAGGGTTTGAAGATGTTATTCAAGGAGTATAATACAGTGAAATAAATTTAGAAAGAAAATAAAGGACATGAAGAATTCTGAACAATAGCATTTGAGAGAACACAAAGAGTGTATGCACCTGCGCCATTGCAAACGATTTTGAGCCATGTCATTCAACGTCTCTAACCATCGGTTGCTATCATCTCGTGGTCCCCAACCAGGTAGTCTACACGTACCAACATGGCTCAGTCCACTTGTCAGTGACTTCATGGACTTGTGCCATGTTTTGGCCTGGTCGCCCCTAGCTTTCTTCCAACCTACTCTTATACCATTGAACATCGCACATGGGGGTAGTCGGTCGTTGGGCATACGTAACACGTGTCCCAGCCATCTCAACTGATGAAGTTTCACTACGTCATCAATTGATTTGCCATCCTTACCTAATACCCGTTTCCGAACAACTACATTACTTACTCAATGGTCTCAGGATATACGAGCAGTGTTTCGAAGACATCTATGATCAAATACTAATAACCTACGGACATCCTGTACTCTTACGGGCCATGTTTCACTGCCATAAAGTAGGACGGAACGAACTGCTGCGCAGTAAACGCGTCCTTTGGTTGGTAGACGGATATCTCGCCTATTCCATAAATGACGCAAGTTGGCAAAAGCTAGTCGAGCCTTCTGTATCCGTGCTGAGATTTCGTCACACACCAGACCACAAGGGCTGATGAGACTTCCAAGATAAGTGAAGCGATCGACACGCTCAATTACTTCACTCCCTATCATTAGTTCGGGTGTCGATGCAACCCAATTTTGAAGCAACATTTTGCATTTCGAGGGAGAGAATCGCATGCCAAACATGCTTGCATTGTTGCTCTGGGATTGTCTATTGAAGAAGGGTGTGCCTGAGACGTTTATTAACATCCTAAAGGCCCTATATATAAACACCTCAGGCAGAGTGAGGGCATACAACCACCTCTCTCCATTGTTCCATTCAAGCAGTGGGGTTAGACAGGGTTGCTCAATCTCACCATTCCACTTCAACTTTGCCATCGATGACATTCTGGAAACTGCTCTGATGGAAGTAGGTAATGATGGTGTGGATCTGTTGCCTGGAGAAAGACTTCTTGACCTTGAGTATGCGGATGATATTGTCTTACTGTGCGATAATGCCCAAGGCATGCAATCCGCACTTAATCAGTTGACAATCAGTGTCCGTAGGTATGGTATGTGCTTTGCACCTTCCAAGTGCAAAGTACTTCTACAAGACTGGCAGGATTCCGATCCTGTACTCACCCTGGATGGTGAGCAGATAGAAGTAGTCGAGAAGTTCGTGTATCTGGGTAGCTGCATAAGTGCTGGTGGTGGCGTGAGTGATGAGATCAATGCACGAATAGTGAAAGCCAGAGCGGCTTATGCCAACCTGGGCCATCTTTGGCGCCTTCGTGATGTTAGTCTGGCTGTAAAAGGTCGGATCTACAACGCGTCGGTGAGAGCAGTTTTGCTCTATGCTTGTGAAACCTGGTCTCTCCGAGTTGAGGACGTCAGACAACTCTCTGTGTTCGATCATCGTTGTCTCCGAAGGATTGCTGACATCCAGTGACAACACCATGCTGGTAATGCAGAGATTCGGCATCGTGTGTTCGGTCACAGAGACGATAATGCAATTGGTGTCACCATCTTGAAACACCGACTTCGGTGGCTTGGACATGTTCTACGAATGTCGTCCCAGAGAATTCCACGTCGTGCATTATTTGCCGACTCTGGGACTGGTTGGAAGAAGCGGAGAGGTGGTCAGTGCATGACATGGTGTCGTGGCATGAAAGAAAGCTGCAAAGGACTGGCTTGTGTCGGTCCTTCACGACTCCCTGGTCGGGGTCTGAGAGATGGTGCTACACAGTGGCTAGAGACGTTATCAGATATGGCTCAGAATAGAAGCCAGTGGCGTTCCTGCTGTAACCTTTTACTTTCTTCATAAAAAGTGGTTGTGTCTCCCTTACCTGAAAGATTTCTTCTGATTGTACCTCGTTACTACCACACTACCTTACACCAATCTCTTCGTTATTGTTCTCTTTTTCTTTTGCGCTCCTTAGTTTTTTTTTCTATCTCTTCGCATTCTCATTGTTTTGTGTGGCGCATATATATTGGCGCTCTCTGTACCAATATTTATGTGTTCAAATAAAATAAAATAAATAAAATTTTTCAACTTCGTAAAGAGTCGGAGAACTTACATCAACTTGCTATTCAGGTTGACTAGAGATCGTGGGAAGCTGAAACGTGGCTGAAGGCCAGTTGAAATGATCCCTAAAGTGTTCTGCCCATCGATCCAATCTCCTGAATTGAGAATGTGTAGTATGTCCTTCTTTCTCTGAGATTGTTTCGCTAACAGTCGGTTTCCTTAACAAGTCTGAACAATTGTCTGATATTACCTATTGCCGCTGCCTTTTCCATCTCTCTTGCTTTCGCTACCCACCACTGTTCACGATCATTGTGTAGGCTTCTTGTCAGCTTGCGTTTAAGCTGAGTCCGCTCTTCGTTATGTTCAGAACCAGATGGAATGAGCTTTCGAGCATCTATCAGTGCGGTAGATGCTGCTGAGATCCAGTTTTTCTCCCTAACCTTATGGTTGCCGTACCAGCAGATATTACTGCTGTTTCCACTGCTTTTCGGATATCGTTCCATGACATTAGCCCATGAAGCCATTAACTCTCGATCTGAGGCATGTTGTCAGATGCAGAGATTACCTGATCGCGGTCAGCACAATTATGGAAACAAATAGTTAAGAGCATGGCTCAGAATTGTTCGAAACGGAGCAGGTGCATTTGCTATCTGTTTTCCTTTAGATCCTGGATTTTTAGATCTTAAGATGCATTTTATTCCAGGAATTCATACTTTCGACGTCTAATGTTTTGTATAACCATTAATATGGTTATTATTCTTATTTATAGCAACTCATGTGCAATTGAGTTTGTTCTCATTTAACTCGGTTAAGCCCTTCTGTTAACTTATTTAGCGGACAAAGTCATCCGTACTATAACAACTTATTGTATCTTCATTATTGTTGTGCTTGTATGAAATATGTATGCTTGAACATTGCTTACCACCTACTCATATATTCATTCTGCTAGCTTTATCATTAGCTGCTTAATTGATTCGATGATCCATTCATTTCCCTATATATATATACATGTACATTTCCACTCTACAGACTCGGTTCGCTGACTCACTCACTCGCCTCACTGCTTTGTGGTCTGAGTTATCTGCTAATAAAACTGTAGTCGCTGCTTCTCTTTGCCTTCTGATTTCAAACACCGTTGAGGATTATATGGTAACGGTTACGAAGGTGATTGGTCAACGAAACACAGCCACTACATATTACTCTGGAACCTATTTTGACGATTACATTATATATATCGCTTGCAGGAATCACTAGATCATCTCACGAGGGTGAGGTTCCAAGGAGACTATCCACAATACATTACCAAGAGACAGATACGTAAATCGCTCGATAAAGAGGAATTCAACTTGATAAGAACTCGTAGATTGTGTTAAATATATAATACGAAGTTGAGAGATACTATTTCGACCAATAGAATGGATTAAGAACTTACAATCGAGAATGAAAGTCGAGGTTTGATTCCAACGAGGGACGGTAGCAGTATTGGAAGATAAAATGAAATGTTTTTCCTACTGAGATTCTAGTGTTCTAATTTATTAAAAACTACTGATAATGTAGAGTCGACTACGATTAGGCCGCTTGATCAAGTACAACACGTAATATATAGCTTCTAGGTTTTTTATCCGTTACATTTTATACAAACTGTCTAGTAAGAAGATAAACGGAAACTTGGTAATTCGTTGTATGAAAAACCAAATTACGTAAGTTCATCGGCTGGAATCCATGGAGTTACAGTGCGAAGGTAGGTAAGAAGCAAGCAATCTTCTTACAATAGTAAACTGCAAGTCCTTCAGATCCTTTCAAGAAATCCAGCCAACAGTTACTTGCAAGGAAGGGTTGGGGAGCTGACAGAAAGGAATATAAGAATACTATTCACTTGAGTATTATCAAGTGACTATTTTGGAAATGCTGATTCAAACACTTGTTATTTAAAGTCAGTAAGTCACCATTGAAATAAAACATGAGACAAGTGTACATTGGTTTGAATCGCTACATCACATTAACATAGATGAATAAACAAACTAACCGGAATTATAATATTGCCGATAGTAGGAAGAAAAGACTCAACATTGATATAACGGTAAAAATAAACAGATATCACGTTAGTTATTTTGGAAACCCGTGTGATTTGACCATAAGAAAGGAGAGCAGTTGTATCGATCTACTCTGAGTGTTGATTGATTCATCTAGACTGTAGATCTAGTACCATAGACCTTTGGATAACCAATGACACGATAATAGTGAGATAACAGCCGAGAATAACACTAAATGACTATTGGTGCAGAACGCAGTTTCCCACACTCGCTCGCCTGATAACCAGAACAGAGAGCAACTCAGGAAAGAGACTTGATTATACAGTTCGAATTTATGAATCACAATAATACAGAGTAAACACGTGACTACAAATCAACATATTCAAGAACTTCCAACAGTCGAATTCATGAGTCGAATTAAGCTAGACCACCATTGATAACCTGAAAGCAACGGATGGTCGTTTCGTCATAGTACAGGACACTTCAGCAGTATGCATCTACGACCCGCATGCGGAGTTTGAACCAAGAACCTTCGGTCTCGTAGGCGAACGCTTAAACTCTAGACTACTGAGCGGGAATTTAAGTGTTAATGTCTAACTTCAATCGATCTATGATCTTGTGCAACTCTCCATCCATAGTCTGATATAGATAACTGTCTCATACTCGACAAAGATCGGACTCCATTGGTCACAGCTCTTCACTGAAGGTCTTTGGTTCAAGTCCCGCGTGTGGGTCTTGGATGCATACTGCTGAGGAGTCCTGTACTATGGCGAAACGACCATCCAGTGCTTCCAGGTTATCAATGGTCGTCTCAGTCAGTCAGTCAATAACAACGTAGAACTTCGTACGTACGTACATTAGTTCGAGCTGCCACACCACATTAGCACACATATACAATTGTCGACTCAAACCCCATAGTAGTAAAAGTATAAGCAGTAATCGGAAAGATTAGGGTTTGAAGATGTTATTCAAGGAGTATAATACAGTGAAATAAATTTAGAAAGAAAATAAAGGACATGAAGAATTCTGAACAATAGCATTTGAGAGAACACAAAGAGTGTATGCACCTGCGCCATTGCAAACGATTTTGAGCCATGTCATTCAACGTCTCTAACCATCGGTTGTTATCATCTCGCGGTCCCCAACCAGGTAGTCTACACCTACCGACATGACTCAGACCACTTGTCAGTGACGTCACGGATTTGTGCCATGTTTTGGCCTGGTCGCCCCTAGCTTTCTTGCAACCTACTCCTATAATCAATGGTGGTCTAGCTTAGATCGACTCAATTCGACGGTTAAAACTACTACAATCCCCTCTCTGATATTTAAGGAATCACAATACAGGGCTAACCATGCCATAAATGGAAGAGTGCTGAGTAATAGGTCCGTAATGAAGTAATAGTAGCTAAAGAAGGGTACAACCCATAACATCAGCTTATGCATCACAGGGAAGTTTGAAGGTAGGAGGAAAAAAGTGCAATAGTTTGAGTAGTTGATAATTATACGAAATTATAGACAATAAATTCAGAAAGGACCGTTCAAATTTGCTTAGTATCTATCTCGTTAGAGAAAACACAAAGAATAAAGTTTGGAGTGACAAGATCCACTCGTTTGGTAAAACAGCATTTGACCTCACGATTTAGGGACAGATAAATGCATTTATTCAACTGAGACCAACTTTGAACTATCCCACGCAAGGTCTCCAACCACTGATCACACTTATTATGCTGATCTCAAACATGTAGTCTACTCCTGCATGGATAAGATCAACAGTCAATGAATTCATGGTGCAGTTTTTTGGTCTCATAACTCCTAGTGGGCTTTAAGTCCACTATCATATTAGCCAGCAGATTGACGAAAACCAAATTCTCTTTTCGTATCCACGATATGATTTCGTCAGGGACAGACTCATCAGGACAAGTGAAGTGGTCAGCCACTTCGATCCCTATGATTAAATATACGCTGACGTAGAATAGCCTTGAAATAAGGTTTCGGACTCAAGGAGGGAGAAACAATCCAAACAACAATATTTCGTAATCGAGGGAGTTCAGAACACCTGAAATTTCGTCAGCATTCTCATCAATCAGAACTATGCCAGTTGCTAACTAAATTAATACGTGAATCCCTAAATAGGTGGTCAAATGATGAATTTGAGGAACCCTGATGATATCCATACAAAGCTTATTTTCAGCTTAAATCACAAACAGTTCCCAGCGAGACCTCTATCACAGACCTAGAAGCACTAGATTGAAGATATTAACACCGTTGGATACCAACATGGTGGTCTAAAGATTAGGTGTTTGTGCGCGAGGCCGGAGACCCCAAGTTTGATTTCCGCGTCCAGGATCGTGGGTTCCCACCACGAGGGAGTCTCATACTGCGATGAAACGGTCGTCCAGTCCTTTCGAACTTTCAATGTTGATCTAGATGAGGTCAAATCGTGATTTAAACTGAAAATTCCACAAATCATTTACAGTAGTATAGCATGCTTGTCAAGAAAATGGTAATGCTACAAATGGATTGCAAAAATACTCTTAGAATTTTAGTGAAATACAGTGCCAATTACGTGTGATCCAGAGTGATGAGTCCCACATTGTTTTTTATATTAATTCCTTTATTAGTTGACCTCTCATTTTTATATATGAATGTTCTTAACAAGTATATGCATGATCAGATTGTTCGAAATGTATTACGCTAGTATATCACATAGTCCTGATAATTTTCGTCTTCTCATTACATTATATCAACTCATATTTATCAACTTTACCAAATAAATTTGTCACAAAGTATAAATCTGTTTTTACTGTAAACAACATACAATGAATGGGGATGCTCTATACTGAACGCGATCAAAAATATTTTATTTACAGTAAAGATCCAAGTGTTTCTGAGATTTGTTTGTCACACAATAAGTTAAAAAAGAGTATGTTCAAATATTTATTTTACGGATAAACAGTGAATTAATCGACCAACATACTCAGGATACGTCAAATACAGTAATCATGACACTGATGGGCCATTCATATGCCTACAGGAAATGAGGAAGATATACACCAATTCACTCTGTTATGCTAAGTATGAGATGGACGTTAAGTGGGAAACGTAAGGCCGTAAAATCATGTCATAGAAGCCTACGAAATATTATGAGTCCCATACCCTAAAATGAAGATTTTTGGACCTTTTAAGTAAATGGCGTATGTCTGTTGGTGAACTTTTGAACCTGAATAGACTTGGGAACGTGCGACAAGTCTACAGACATCCCGTACCAAAACTGTGACTAGACAAAGGTTCCAAGTCATCACTAAGCCACTTAGTGTCCTACACATTTTAAGTCATTTAATGTGAAGTAGGATAGTGTAATGCAAACTAGCTCCCGAAGCAATTCATCATCGGGAAAAGCGACCATCTTCATAGCAGCGCTAAATGTTTGTCGTTGGTACCTGGAGCAACTACACAAAGGCATGATACGAGTATGGCTTTCTACCATATAGTGAAGATACACTTCATAAACGGAATGATAAGAAGAGTAGACGATCAAAGTTTTAAAATATTTTCTACTTAAGAGGTTCTATCTTCAAGGTAGATCGACAAATAAATATGTAGTGTTTATTACAATAAAATTTAACACATATAGAGTATGTTGAGGGGTGAACAAATGACAATCAATGCGACTTCCACTATCATATAAAAAGAAAGCAACTTCAACGACTACTTACATTTATTTACAACAAAAAGTCGATGACAACATAAAAATGCCCAATTACTCAACACAACTACGTCACACGCTTGCGTTTTCGAAGTTCTTCGGGAGCATTTTCGTTTTCTTGTTCATAGAACTTCTTTAGCAGTTTAACAGCTGCCTCCGCTTCAACTCCGGATATGCAGTTTAGCGGAGCGACTGGACTAGGAGAATTGTGCACACTTAGGACTGAACCACATCCACCAAACCGTTCATTACGAGCACCGTATGTAATACTAGTGACAAAGTCAAAGTAAGAAATAAACTTACCTTCTCAGATGAGCTGGAAGACAAAACCGTATAGCAGCCGTACACATAATGCAGGGTTCCACTGTAACAAAAAGGTCGCATTCGGTCAAAACCTTGTCAAGCTCCTTTTCGTTATTTCGACACCATTGTTCTAGTCGTCTAATAGTAACCATCTCGGCATGTTGAGTAGCATCTCTAGTTGCATTCACCTAGAAATCACAAAACTCCTACTAATGAGTTACTTCGTTGCGGCCAGATGCAATTACTTCTCCATTATAAACAAAAGCACATCCTACTGGAACTTCGTTACATTTGAGTGCTTCACAAGCCAATTCGAAGGCAACATCCATGTGAACATTCCTTCAGAAATATTGACCGCACGACCTTGAGGAGACCGAACATCAGTCTTCAGTCTTCAAACGGTTCAAATGGTTGTGGACGGAATAAAAGAAGCTTTCGCTTAACAGGCTTCCGTGTCTAGTAGCAGGGGATTACCAAATCCTCCAGGCAGGAACCTAGGTATGTTAACAATAAAAGAGGAAAAGAAATTGGTAAATCATAGTGTGATGCTGTCCTTGGTCCTTAAGAATAGGTCAAGTTGCCTCTTGAAGGACTCCTGAGAAGTCGCTTGGACTAGCTCGGCCGGCAGCGAATTCCAGCTTTTGACGACTCTTAAGGAGAAGTTGTTTCTACATTCCGTCTTGCTATGTTGTGTTTCCAGTTTCTGGGTGTTACCCTTTAGGTTATTATTCGAACTAAGCTTAAGTAGGTGTTTAAGAGGATGTCCAGAAGTGTTAAGAATACTATAAGCCATTAATAAATCACCTCAGTAATAAGGATAGTAGGTTGATGAACCTGTGTTAATCCTGACACACTGCTTTCCAGTGAAGGCATCAAACGGTTCTGGTTGGAATAGAAGACGCTCTCACTTAATGGGCTTGTAGCGGTAAATAAATCCCCAAAATAAATAGCACTAAGTTTTCGACATTGGATGCTGACCATATGTTTTAGTGAACTCACCTAGCTGAAGGCGCTCGGTCAGTCATCCGCACCAGATCACGTGTGGTAACGCCGTGCTCAACATCAACCGCAATCGCTAGCCAGATTAGATCAGAGAATTCCGATATATTGGTCATCGCCAAATATACTCTTCCGATCTCCTCGACTCTGTCTTTTGATTTCTCTGGGCGGGAACGAAATATATTAGAAGGTGTTACTGGTAGAAGCGTTGTCAAACACTGAATACCTGTGACATCAACATTGGTGAAACCGACGTGATCTGGTACACCTAATTGCAACTGTGAGTCTGTTCCTTTTTGGGATTTTTATATATCATTGCCTTATTTTTTTAACTTTTTTAAACATTGTGATTTTTTTTTCGTGTTTTTTCCTGGATATGTATATTTTCCCCTTGTTCATTATCGTACTTCATACTTCATCATGACTGAACAGACACCTAAAGTACGCAAGCTTAAGACTTTGTCCCCGCCTTCGTTTCAACTCATGCCTTTCTGGCCCGACAACATCGAAGCCTGGTTTTGCTACGCAGAAGCCGACTTCTCCGAACACGGCGTGATCGACACACGTGCGCAATTCCTCGCAGTAGTCAAGGCACTACCGCGCGAATTCAACAGGTACGTAACACCTAGTATGTTTACTAGTGATGTTTCCGATCCTTACGAAATCTTAAAACGCTCGATTCTTAAACGAGGAGACCTAACCGATCGACAAAGGTTAGATCAACTCTTCAACAATATCGACCTGCAACATGGTTCTGCGACAGACATGTTGCAACGGATGAGAGAGGTAATAGGCCCAAGAACTTTCGACGAAGGCCTATTCAAACAACTCTTCTTGTCAAAACTTCCCCAACAGGTGCAAGCAGTTCTGGTCTCGTTCCAGAACAACGCCTTAGACGAGCTAGCTGTATCTGCCGACCGCATTTTAGAAATTACGAAACCTTCTACTACCGAGGTATTTTCAGTCAAAGAAAAACCTCAAACGACTCAGAATGATATAAACGACTTATGTCACACACTCACGCGTTATCTTAGTCTTCGTACCGACCGTAAGAGATCGCGCACACCACGTAGAAGCATTTCTCGTAAGCAATCTGTCTCTAGACCACGAGAGACAGATAACCCCGACTGGTGCTGGTATCATAACCAGTATGGAAAGTTTTCCAGAAATTGCAGAAAACCCTGCAATTTTCCCAACACGAAACCGACTGATTCGAAAAGCAATTCGGGAAACTTCCAAGCCGGCACGCGTTAACGGCAACCGTAGCCGGCGAACAAAGCCGTCTGTTATTCGTCACAGATGTGACAACGAGAGTTCGTTACCTCGTCGACACTGGCGCAGAAGTTAGCGTTCTCCCAGCAAATCCTAACGACCGGCTTCACGAATCGACCCTAAACTTACAGGCGGCAAACGGAAAACCGATCGCTACGTATGGCAAAAGGTACGTTTACCTTAACGTGGGTTTACGCAAACCCATCCACTGGATTTTCGTTGTTGCAGATGTTTCTATGCCAATCATTGGTATGGACCTTCTACAACACCACAATCTGATCATCGACACGCGCAAACGGAGGCTAGTAGACGGAAACACTAATTTGTCCGTTTGCGTAACTTCTTTTACTGGTTGTAGAGTATCCCCAGTCACAGTTAAACATATGATAGACCCACTCTATCAACCACTACTCGATAAGTACCCTGGGATACAACAAAGTCAACCGAAACTATCGTGTGTAACCAGCAATGTTACACATCACATCACGACTACAGGACCACCTGTATTCTCTAAAGCACGACGACTAGCTCCTGAAAAGCTAAGGTTAGCGAAAAACGAATTCGATCACATGATGGACTTAGGAATCATACGACCGTCAAGTAGCCCATATGCATCTCCGTTGCACATGGTCCCTAAAAAGGACAGCAACGATTGGCGTCCAACTGGTGACTATCGGCGATTGAACGCGAAAACCATTCCCGATCGTTACCCGTTGCCTCACATTCACGATTTGACAGCTACCTTGAAAGGTACAACTGTCTTTTCGAAAATCGACTTGGTTAAAGCGTATAACCAAATCCCTATGGCTACTGACGACATACCGAAAACAGCTATCATAACTCCTTTCGGACTCTATGAATTTTTGCGAATGCCTTTCGGTCTAAGGAATGCTGCTCAAACATTCCAAAGATTCATAGACGACGTTTTTCGAGGTCTCAACTTCGTACACGCGTATGTTGACGACTGTCTAATCGCAAGTCCGGACAGAGAAACACATCTCAAGCATCTGGATCTTGTTTTCGAACGACTTCAAAAACATGGCATAACTGTAAACGTTCAGAAATGCCAATTCGGAACCGACTCGTTAGACTTCCTAGGACACACCATCGATGCTCAAGGCATTCGACCTCTTAGGACCAAAGTGGCGGCCATTCTGGATTACCCAGAACCGACCACCGTCAAGCAATTACGCACGTTTAACGGCCTGGTAAGTTTCTATAGACGTTTCATACCGAAATGCGCATTACTTATGAAACCTCTGACCGACCAACTTCGTGGAAATGCGAAATCCATTAATTTGGACGACACCGCACGAAAAGCATTCTCCACAGTTAAGGAACTGATTGCTAAAGCAACGATGCTCGCACATCAGGACACCCGAGCACCCATTAGCATCGCAGTAGACGCATCCGACTCGGCAATCGGAGGAGTCTTACAACAATGGGTTAACAACTCCTGGCAACCCTTGGCATTTTTCTCTAGAAGGTTGCTAGACACCGAATCGAGGTACAGCACATTCGGTAGGGAACTCCTAGCTATGTATTGTGCTGTACGGCATTTCCAACACTACATCGAAGGTCGTGAATTCACTCTTTTCACGGACCATAAGCCGCTCACTTTCTCGTTAAGCTCTCCTTCAGACAAGTACTCTCCCCGTGAGTCTCGACAACTGGACTACATTTCGCAGTTTACTTCAGATATTCAACACATCTCTGGAGCAAACAATGTAGTTGCAGACGCTTTATCTCGTATAACTTCCTTGAACAGTTTCCAAGGAATCGACCTTCTTAAACTCGCCGAGCTTCAAAAAGAAGACAGTGATCTTCAGCACGAGTTATCGTCCACAACACTTAAACTACGCATCAAACAGATGGGAACAGGTAAGGAAACCTTACTTTGTGACACATCTACAGGTAGGGATCGCCCAATCGTGCCGAAACATTATCGACGCAATGTCTTCAACACATTGCACAAACTTTCGCATCCAGGTGTTCGTGCAACCATCAAGCTTATAGCAGAAAGGTTTTGCTGGCCTGGAATGAATAAAGACGTGAGGGAGTGGGCACGCTCCTGTGTAAGCTGCCAAAAATCTAAGGTTATCAGACACAATAAATGTCCCTTAGGCTCGTTTAAAACTCCCGATGCTCGTTTCGACCATGTTCATCTGGATTTGGTAGGACCTTTACCAGATTCGAATGGATACTCTTATCTCTTAACCTGCGTAGACCGTTTCACTCGATGGCCAGAAGCAGTACCTATCAAGGACATCACTGCTGAAACAGTGGCTCGCACCTTCGTCGAACGATGGGTAGCAAACTTCGGTTGCCCTTCAACCATCACTACAGACCGCGGACGTCAGTTTGAATCCGATCTTTTCCGTCGTCTGACCACACTTTTAGGAATCACTCGCTTTCGAACGACCGCCTACCATCCACAAGCAAACGGGTTGGTAGAACGTTTTCACCGACAACTGAAAGCTTCGCTATCAGCTGCAAACGTTTCACAGTGGACCGACGCTCTTCCACTCGTCTTACTAGGTATCCGCAATGCAGTGAAAGCTGACATTGGATACACTGCGTCTCAACTCGTTTATGGTACGACACTTCGACTTCCAGGAGAATTCGTGGATCCTTCATCCTCTTCAATGAACATGGATCTAACCTCCTACACGAACAGGCTTACAAACGCAATGCGTTCAGTTAAACCTGCTTCCACTCGACCTCAATCAACTGATGTTTTCGTTCAACCTGACTTACGATATAGTACACACGTTTTCGTTCGTCGAGACTCGCATCGACGACCCTTCGAATCAGCATACGAAGGACCCTTCAAAGTTCTTCAACGTGAATCTAAGTACTATATAGTCGATAAGAACGGAACCAACGATAGCATCAGTATCGATCGCTTAAAAGCAGCGTATTTAGAAGGAAATCCTATCTACGTGGATTTTCCTTCGGTACAATCGAACGACACGACTCCGACACTTATAATACCTCATCCGACAACCAACACACACGATGATACTTCGACAGTATCCGAAAATAAACTTAAAACGACGCGTTCTGGAAGAAGGGTGAGATTTCCAGAACATCTAAACGACTATTGCACGTAAGGCACTT